CACCAAGCTGATGAAGAGAGAGAAACTTTTGTAGCTGATCTACAAGCATAGTCAGGTTGGGAGCTGGTGAAGATGACTCATCCACTAGTGGTGCTACGGCCGCTGTATGACGATCTCTGGACTTAAATGACTGATTTTGAGATCCTCGTGCATTCTTGTTCATCAACTTTGGACATTGGGCCTTCCTGTGGCCCTTTTCACGACAAAAGCTACACTCATTGGAAGCAACTCGACCTCGATATTTGTTTTAGGAATTAAAGGCCACTTTGGAAGGAACAACAAAGACAGTCTGATTTGGTAGTGGAAGAAGACCCTTTCAAAAAAGGGTTTTAAGGCGAACCTCTTCAGTTAAGAGCTCTTAACAACTACATCCACTAAGAGGAGTGGGTGATGATGAATAATGGAACCACGAAGTCCCTCGAAGTCATCCCTAAGTGCTATTAAGAATTTCACCAGCCTCTGTTCCTCTCTGAAGGTGCGATATGCTAGATTAGTGCTCAACTCAGTGGGTTCAATAAGTGTTAACTGATCCTAGAAGCTAGTCATAACAGAGTAGAATTATTGGATAGTTTTGTCCACTTGTCGCGCATCTCGAATCTCATGCTCTAGCTGATACCTCTTTGCAAAATTAGACTGAACAAAAAGTGCGGTCAAATAATCATAAATTTCCTTAGCAGTGGTAAACTTGGATAGATGAACCACAATGGTCTGATCAATTGAGTTATTAATCCAAGTGATAAATTTTGCATTATTGATATCCCAAGTACTCTACAAATCAACATAATTTTCTGCCTTAGTATCAGTTGGAGGCTGTACAACACCACTAATATAATTTCACATGTCTTTCCCCAACAAAATTTTTTTCATAACATAAGCTCAATAAACATAATTTCCACCAATTAGTCTCACATTAATGGCTTGAAATGAATCAGAGTGACCACTTGTCATTGTAATAACAATTATTAATACACACCACAGTCAAATTCAAACTCAGTAGCCCAAAGAAACAATAACACCAAATAGCAACAATCCAACCAACCAGTCTAAACCAAGAGTAGAAAACAAAAAGAAAACAAACCATTGTGAACAGACGGAATTTGGACTTAGACAAAATCCCAAGCCAGACAAAACTATTCACAGACGGAATTCGANAATAAACACCACAGTCAAATTCAAACTCAGTAGCCCAAAGAAACAATAACACCAAATAGCAACAATCCAACCAACCAGTCTAAACCAAGAGCAGAAAACAAAAAGAAAACAAACCACTGTGAACAGACGGAATTTGGACTTAGACAAAATCCCAAGCCAGACAAAACTATTCACAGACGGAATTCGTTTGGACCCAGACAAAATCCCAAGCCAGATGAAACTGTTCACAGACAAAATTCGTCTTCAACCTCTGGACAGCCACTGTTGACAGACGAACCCCCAAGCTAGACGAAATCAGAATTCGGACTTCGTCTTCAACCTCTGGATGACCACTGTTCACAGACAAAACCCTAAGCCAGACGAAACCCCTTCGTCTTCAACCTCTGGTTTGCGCGAAACCCCCAAGCCAGCNCTGTTCACAGACAAAATTCGTCTTCAACCTCTGGACAGCCACTGTTGACAGACGAACCCCCAAGCTAGACGAAATCAGAATTCGGACTTCGTCTTCAACCTCTGGATGACCACTGTTCACAGACGAAACCCTAAGCCAGACGAAACCCCTTCGTCTTCAACCTCTGGTTTGCGCGAAACCCCCAAGCCAGAAACAACCTGTCGGTGAAGAGTGATATCACCTCGCCAGGTAACTCCACCTCAACGGTGACTCACCGAAACCCAGAAGATAGACCACCAAGACCCAGAAGATTCGATCCTGATGATGGTATTCACAGTCGGATTCACTACGTCAGTTCATGGGGGGTTCACCAGGTTACTTCTAGTCTTCAATTATAAATTATTATTTGAGTTTAAAGAGCTCTGATACCATTTTAGAATTGATCAATGAGAATAGAGAAGAAAAAAGAAGAAAAGATTATTTATTAAGAAAGTATGTAATACACAGCTTAACCTAGAAATACACAAAGTAACCCTTATATAGTAGGGCAACACAACATAAAGAAAATACCTAAATTACCCTTATTATGAATACTCTAACAGAAGCATCCTCAAAACAATAGAAAATGCACCTAACACAACCATAATTTGACAAAAAAAAACATTACTCATACACAAAAGGGACAGCTTTTTATAATTATAAAGCTGCATTTAGAAACAAATTGACTCACAATTCAATAATGGAAATATACTAATTTGGGACTTCTCCCTAAAATAAATCCACACCCGTTAAAATTAGGTAAGAAGACGTAAATGGATATAGAAGCTTGGTAATGGCATTAAAAGTTTGAAAAATGTTTGTTAGGCCTTAATTTATTTATTTAGCTAATTCTTTTTTTTTTTTACCAAAATTGGAATTGCCAATTAGATATATTCTATTATGCTTTGACAAATACTCAAATTTANTTGAAAAATGTTTGTTAGGCCTTAATTTATTTATTTAGCTAATTCTTTTTTTTTTTTGTTTACCAAAATTGGAATTGCCAATTAGATATATTCTATTATGCTTTGACAGATACTCAAATTTGTACATAGACGTCCCTTAATTTGCTCAACCTTGATTGGTAGTCCACTAAGTACCAAATCAAAGACCAAATTCCTTGAGACTTTGAAACTTCAAACCCAGCCACCAAAAAACCAGAACATCACATAAAAACAGGGCAGGAGTACATTGCAGAAAAAAAATGGGAATTTACACTATTATGCCAAAATGTTTAGGTNCCACTAAGTACCAAATCAAAGACCAAATTCCTTGAGACTTTGAAACTTCAAACCCAGCCACCAAAAAAACAGAACATCACATAAAAACAGGGCAGGAGTACATTGCAGAAAAAAAATGGGAATTTACACTATTATGTCAAAATGTTTAGGANAATTCCTTGAGACTTTGAAACTTCAAACCCAGCCACCAAAAAACCAGAACATCACATAAAAACAGGGCAGGAGTACATTGCAGAAAAAAAATGGGAATTTACACTATTATGCCAAAATGTTTAGGTGGGGTTTAGTTCCGGTATTATAGGAGATGTGATTGGACAATTGACTCAATTTAATTTATATCGGCGATAATAATCGGTCTATAATTTTATTATATTTAATCCATACCGTATTTAATTTAAAAGTAGGATTAAATATGAGCGAATTGTGCTTATACTAAACTTATGTTAGGATCAGATATTGATGAGTTTTAGAAGGCGAAATCACCGTTGCATTCGATCAAATTCANATGAGCGAATTGTGCTTATACTAAACTTATGTTAGGATCAGATATTGATGAGTTTTACAAGGCGAAATCACCGTTGCATTCAATCAAATTCCAATCCAAGTAAAGAGTCAATTGTCAATTCTAATTTAAATCAGATGATTGATTTTTATCATCTATCATATGGATTGATTTGTTGTGTATGTAGCGTTATTTGACATTTTAGTATCATAGTAATTTAATTTTTATATTATAACATCGGGTCTTAGAACCTAATAATAACATAACATTAAATTAAGAGTAATGTTAGATGAATTTAAAAATTAGACTTGATAATTTCAACTATTGAATAGTTAGTGGGTCTCAATAAATACTAGAACTCACAATGAAATCAATGATTCTAATTATCAAGTCTAATTTTTAAATTTACTTTTTAAGTTCATATAGTATTGCTCTTAAATTAAATATTAAAATACTTTATTATAATTGGACTCCCTTAATACCCAAATTAAACATAGCTCAACTAGTCTTTTTTTGATTTGTTAAAATTCCGGTACAACTGCATGATCTGCAGTCGATATGGGAAAAAAAGAAGGTAATATAATAAAAATATTTAAATAAAAAAATTATGTTTCTCACAGCCTTTTTTTTTGGGGGGGCAAAAATGACAAAATAATATTTAAAAATATAACTTGTTCGTTATAATAGTTGGACTTTTTTTTTTTTTTATGCCTTGTGCCATAAATTATATTTTAGATTCCAAAAGTTAAAAAAAAATTCACTTTGTATTTTAAGGATTAAACATTTATATTATACTTTCAATGTATTGAAGTTAACGTAATGTAGCAGTTTTTTTAGTTTTTATTGCTCATTCCATCAAAAAACACTCATTATAATTGGCGAAATGAACAATAAAAGATAATATTATGGATATATTGCAATAGTTTTAAAATATGAAGGGTGAAATATAAAAAAATTAATCTTTGACATATAAAATAAGAATTAAATTAAATTAATAACAAAAGCTAACGTTAGGGACATATTGCAATAATTTTAAAATATTAAGGGTGAAATATAAAACAAATTAATCTTCTTATAAAATAAGAATTAAATTTAAGGTACTAAGTGTAATTCAGCCTAAACATTTCTGGCACTTTCGATATATATAGTTCGTCATTCTAGGGGCTCTCTGGTTGCTTCTTGAACCCTCTTTCTGACAAAAACCAGGTTCTCCAATGGTTACATGACACCCCTTGTATCTTCAAATCTCTCTCTGTCTCTTCTCTCCTCCAAGACTTTTGAATTTTGAACAACATTTAAACACACGCACATATACTCTCTCTCGAGTCTCTCCCCTNCCAATGGTTACATGACACCCCTTGTATCTTCAAATCTCTCTCTGTCTCTTCTCTCCTACAAGACTTTTGAATTTTGAACCACATTTAAACACACGCACATATACTCTCTCTCGAGTCTCTCCCCTCGTCTCCATGGATACATTAAAAATCAGCATATCCTCTGTTCTTTCATGGATTCCATTACCCAATTAATCACCCAAAACCAGAGTCCAGTCAATCCCATATTGAAACTATCTGCAAATTGTCATTTTTGGGCATTTTACAGAAATCCAGATTTCTTGATCGATTTCAAAAGAAACTTGAATTGAATTGCTTGAAAATAGGACAAATCTGAAACAATGGAGGAGAGGAACAAACTGCTTGGCAAGTATGAGATGGGGAGGCTATTAGGTAAAGGCACTTTCGCAAAGGTTTACTACGGAAAACAAATGGCCTCCGGCGAAAGTGTGGCCATCAAAGTGATCAGCAAAGATCAGGTGAAGAGAGAAGGTCTGATTGATCAGATCCAGAGAGAAATCTCCGTCATGAGACTCGTTCGCCACCCAAACATCGTCGAGATCAAAGAAGTCATGGCGACGAAGGCGAAGATCTTCTTCATTATGGAGTACGTTAAAGGCGGTGAGCTTTTCGCAAAAGTCGCCAGAGGAAAGCTCGAAGAAGATCAAGCTCGAAAGTACTTTCAACAGTTGATCAGTGCGGTGGACTTTTGTCACAGCCGTGGCGTCTCTCACCGTGATCTCAAACCGGAAAATCTCCTCCTCGATGAGAACGGAGACCTGAAAATCTCCGATTTTGGCCTATCGGCGTTGCCGGAACAGCTTCGCAACGACGGACTTCTGCACACCCAGTGTGGAACTCCGGCATATGTCTCGCCGGAGGTTTTGAGAAGGAAAGGGTATGACGGAGCAAAGGCAGATATATGGTCTTGTGGGGTTATATTATATGTTCTTCTTGCTGGGTTTCTTCCATTTCAAGATGAAAATCTCATGAACATGTACCGGAAAGTTTTCAAAGCTGCTTATCAATTTCCTCCATGGTTTTCAACAGATTCAAGGCGTTTGGTTTCGAAACTCTTGGTGGCTGACCCAGAAAGACGAATAACAATCCCTGCAATAATGAGAGTACCCTGGTTTCGAAAAGGGTTTATAAGATCACTTTCATTTTCTGTTCAAGACCCAGTTTCAGATAATTTTGAAGAAGGTGATCAAGTGGTGAAGCAAGAAGGTCTCAAGAGATCATCGTCTTCGCCCTCGTTCTTCAATGCTTTTGAATTCATTTCGTGTATGTCATCTGGCTTTGATCTGTCGAGCTTGTTTGAGAGTAAGAAGAAGGTGGGTTCTATGTTCACGTCGAGGTGTTCGGCGCCGGCGATCATGGCGAAGATTGAGACGGTGGCGAGGGGGTTGAGTTTTAAGGTTGCTCAAGTGAAGGACTTCAAGGTGAGGTTGCTGGGGCCATCGGAGGGTCGTAAGGGGCGGTTGTCGGTGACGGCGGAGGTGTTCGAGGTGGCGCCGGAGGTGGCCGTCGTCGAGTTCTCGAAGTCCTCCGGTGATACTCTGGAATATGCCAAGTTCTGTGACGAGGACGTTAGGCCTGCATTGAAAGACATTGTCTGGACTTGGCAAGGGGACAACAGCTGTAACAGTAATGTTAATGGAGGCGAATGTGATAAGGAATCAGCAATTAAATTAGATTAGGGTTTCTCTCTCTTTTTTTTTGTTTTTTTTTGGCATTAGGTCTTTGTAAATGGTATTATCTTATCTAATTTGATAATCCAATAATGTGGTTTCATTTGAAATTATTGGATTAATATACTAAATTCTAATATTTGACAAGACACACAATCGATTTAAAAGTCACAGTGTATAAGATCAGTAAATTAAGTCTAAATAACATAACTTTATGTTTTATCTTTTNAATAATGTGGTTTCATTTGAAATTATTGGATTAATATACTAAATTCTAATATTTGACGAGACACACAATCGATTTAAAAGTCACAGTGTATAAAATCAGTAAATTAAGTCTAAATAACATAACTTTATGTTTTATCTTTTTTGATTTTTCTCATTTTACACTCGGAAAAATGTCTCGATTCCCACTTTACACATCGAAAGATTATTGTTTCCACATTACACCTTGAATATCATAAATTGATTTTAATATGACCCTCAGACTAATATTTGTTTTAGATTTCGTTAAAAAATAATGTACATGCCTCCTACGTGTGTTGCTCTTAGGTAAGAATATAAACTCATTATTCATGTCCTTGTGTGGCATGTACATCAATTTTAAACAAAATTTGAAACGGATGTTAGTCCGAATGTCACATTAGAACTAATTTATGATATTCAAAGTACAATGTAAAAAAAATAATATTTCACGACGGNCCTACGTGTGTTGCTCTTAGGTAAGAATATAAACTCATTATTCATGTCCTTGTGTGGCATGTACATCAATTTTAAACAAAATTTGAAACGGATGTTAGTCTGAATGTCACATTAGAACTAATTTATGACATTCAAAGTACAATGTAAAAAAAATAATATTTCACGACGATAAAGTAAAAATTAAAACATCTTTCAAAATACAAAGTGTGAAAAATCCTATCTTTTTTGACGGTTAATTAGGTTGGCCAATCCATTTGTTTGTGATGTAAACTTGTTTGTCATACAAATTTATTCTTATTATCATCAGATTTCAAATAAAGAATTTAAATTAAGTACAAACATCAATATTTCATCTTTTTTGGAGGAACCACTTGGCTTTGAACCTCACTTTCTCTGTCTCCTTCTCCCAACGGAATGCACGATGCTCTTATGTGTATAACGTATAGGATGTTAAGTTGTGCTTTGTGTTTAATATAATGTTATTCAGAATTAATTTATTAATTTAATTCACTATAATTATTGAATTACTAATGAATTTTGATGGCGTAAACCGAATTATATGAGTAATGAATCGTAATTATGCTTTGCAGTGATGATGATGTGATAATGGAAGAAATATTTTTCTAGGAGCTGAGAGGATTAACACAAAAGAAGTATATTGGTTCACCAGCTCGGAAGCTCAGCTAATTCACTCTTTAATGGAGACTCTTACTCCTTGCCTTTCAATAATGATGATTACAAGAGTACAATGACTATTTTTTGCCTCTAAGATCCTCTCGTGGTTATCCAGCTGTTCTTTTGCCTTAAGAGACACTCGGCCCTTACCATCTGACCTCTGCTAATGTGCCTGACCTCCTGGTCCGAGCTGACCTCCTAAGCTTAGTACTTGAAATTTACTTTAGGTATCATCAGTTGCCCCTAGCCCTTGGCTCAAGCGAGCTTGGGTATGGGCTGAGTTGCTTTCGTATTGGACCAGGTCTGCACTTAGCTGACCTTAGTCCGCATGTGAGATGCACATTGGGGGGGGGGGCTCTTTGACGGTTTACAGCAATCATGACTTTCTCGATTCTCGTGCATATTTCAGCCCACATTCAAGCCTTAAAATGCTCAAACAGCTACCTGAAAATCGCTCAAAATTTCCTGTTCATCTTCTACGCTGTTCACCTTCATCTCCGACTCTTTCTTTCTGCGATTTCTGGGCTTTCCTCCACGCGATTCCCTTATTTTCTGCTCTAGACTGTGCANCTTTCTACGATTTCTGGGCTTTCCTCCACGCGATTCCCTTATTTTATGCTCTAGACTGTGCATTCTGGGTTCGACTCGAAGTCCTGCTTTGTTCCTCTCCCCAATTTTGTTCTTTGGCTACTGTTTACTGCTTTCTTTCCTGTCTAGGTACGCTTCCTTCTGCCCCTTTCTCTTTCTCTTACCTTTCCTCACTCTGGATCCCTCGACTTTGAGGTGGCAATTATTTTTCTGAATTTTTTGGTTCTTTTTCTTTTGGAATCGGGATCGTTGCCTATCTCTNCAAAATTTCCTGTTCATCTTCTACGCTGTTCACCTTCATCTCCGACTCTTTCTTTCTACGATTTCTGGGCTTTCCTCCACGCGATTCCCTTATTTTATGCTCTAGACTGTGCATTCTGGGTTCGACTCGAAGTCCTGCTTTGTTCCTCTCCCCAATTTTGTTCTTTGGCTACTGTTTACTGCTTTCTTTCCTGTCTAGGTACGCTTCCTTCTGCCCCTTTCTCTTTCTCTTACCTTTCCTCACTCTGGATCCCTCGACTTTACAGTGGTAATTATTTTTCTGAATTTTTTGGTTCTTTTTCTTTTGGAATCGGGATCGTTGCCTATCTCCTCTTCCCCACTTTGTGGATTAGAACTCCACTGTGCGAATTCTTATTGTTGGGAGGTACAGTGTTGACCCTAGGATTATTAGGGGGTGTTTGATTAGTATTCCTTCTCTCTATCATTCTTTCAATCTACCTTTCTCTCTACCAATCATGTCTGCCTCTTCTGGAGCAACTTCTTCCTCTGTTTCCCTCTTAGGCGATAGGTCTGCCTAAAGAGATTCTGATTTAGGGGATGTAGGTGATGAGATTGACAACTTTCCTAGTGTGGATTCTGCCGAGGTAAAGGTGAAAACCGAGGAGGCCCCCTCCACCTTTCTCCCATACCTGATAGACCTGATAAGGGCAAAGGTAAAGTGGTGTGGGAGTCATTGATTCAGGCGTAGGGGCTGCCTTAAGGAACGCTANGTCTGCCTAAAGAGATTCTGATTTAGGGGATGTAGGTGATGAGATTGACAACTTTCCTAGTGTGGATTCTACCGAGGTAAAGGTGAAAACCGAGGAGGCCCCCTCCACCTTTCTCCCATACCTGATAGACCTGATAAGGGCAAAGGTAAAGTGAGTGGTGTGGGAGTTATTGATTCAGGCGTAGGGGCTGCCTTAAGGAACGCTAAACTTGTAGGTCCCAACGGACTTACCCCTACTGACCTGAAGGTTCTCAGTGCTTGCTTTCGTTTTCCCCCAGGGATTCAGCCCTGGAGTCCTGATAAGTACACCACATATGTTCACCATGTCCATAAGAAGGTTTGTTTCTTCATGGTAGCTTTTGATAACAGACTTCGCTTCTNGCTGCCTTAAGGAACGCTAAACTTGTAGGTCCCAACGGACTTACCCCTACTGACCTGAAGGTTCTCAGTGCTTGCTTTCGTTTTCCCCCAGGGATTCAGCCCTGGAGTCCTGATAAGTACACCACATATGTTCACCATGTCCATAAGAAGGTTTGTTTCTTCATGGTAGCTTTTGATAATAGACATCGCTTCTCCATTCATCCTTTTATCAAAGGTGTCCTTCAACACTTCAATGTCTGCCCTGCCCAGCTCTCCCCCAACTTCTGGGGTGTTCTTGTGGGTCTACTAGTCTTCTTTAAGGACCATAAGCTTAGGGTCCCTACTGTTTCCTCACTTATGGAGCTGTTCAATGTCAAGTAGACCTCCTCTGACGATTTTCTATATATTTTCAAGAGGACTAAGGCCAAACAAGTCATCTCTGACCTCCCAAGCTCCCATAAGGGCTAGAAGAAATAATTTTTCTTTGTAGGCGGTACATAATAGGAGTTCAATTCAGGGGATAAAACTGATACCCTCCCCATCCCTGCAGAGTGGTCTNTTCTATATATTTTCAAGAGGACTAAGGCCAAACAAGTCATCTCTGACCTCCCAAGCTCCCATAAGGGCTAGAAGAAATAATTTTTCTTTGTAGGCGGTACATAATGGGAGTTCAATTCAGGGGATAAAACTGATACCCTCCCCATCCCTACAGAGTGGTCGATCCCCGATAATTTGGATATGTTTCTGTCCAAACCGTATTTAATTCAAGTCTGGCTGCTTTGTTAACTTATTTCTTATTTTTATTGGTTTTCTAGGTATCTGACCTGAGCTCAGCGCTGAAGAGGAGCANCATAATAGGAGTTCAATTCAGGGGATAAAACTGATACCCTCCCCATCCCTGCAGAGTGGTCTATCCCCGATAATTTGGATATGTTTCTGTCCAAACCGTATTTAATTCAAGTCTGGCTACTTTGTTAACTTATTTCTTATTTTTATTGGTTTTCTAGGTATCTGACCTGAGCTCAGCGCTGAAGAGGAGCGAGTATTGCAGAAATTAGAAAAGTATAAACCAGAGAAATATTCTGAGCTTATCCAACCTTGGGCTCTCGTAGAACACGGGTTCTGCCTTCCTAAGGTGAGGGTTGAAGCTCCCCTTCCACTTTTCGTTACTGGTCTCATCCCGCTTTCCGTCGAAGATATATCAGGTAACACTTTTTCTTTGTACCCTCTCTCCTATTTTCTGNTTCTGAGCTTATCCAACCTTGGGCTCTCGTAGAACACGGGTTCTGCCTTCCTAAGGTGAGGGTTGAAGCTCCCCTTCCACTTTTCGTTACTGGTCTCATCCCGCTTTCCGTTGAAGATATATCAGGTAACACTTTTTCTTTGTACCCTCTCTCCTATTTTCTGTGTCTAAGGGCGAGGCTTAGCTATTCTTAGGTCCCGTAGGTTCATCTTCAATAGAGCCCACTGCTGTTGAACTTAGGGCTAAACTTTCTCAAATGAAGAATATCAAGGGCAGCAGCAAAAGCAACGCCAAGCGTAAGTCAGGNTAAGGGCGAGGCTTAGCTATTCTTAGGTCCCGTAGGTTCATCTTCAATAGAGCCCACTGCTGTTGAACTTAGGGCTAAACTTTCTCAAATGAAGAATATCAAGGGCAGCAGCAAAAGCAGCGCCAAGCGTAAGTCAGGACCCA